ATTCTAGCTTTGAATTAACTTCAGCTCTTATATAAGAATGAATGAGTCATTGCTCTTTAGTAAATGGAAGTGAAAAAAGCAGATTGGCTGGAGTTGCCATTTGTGTTAAGGAGACCAGGACCCAAAAATGCATGTTCTGGAGTAATAATGTAATGAGATTAGAAGTATATGTGCAGCATAATCAAAAAAAATTCAGTGGTTTAATTTAGGAGAGAATAGTACATACTAAGAAATGATGTGGTTTAAGGATGCAGGGACCCCAAAATACTGAGGTTCAAGGCAGAGTTGTCTGGAAAGAATTTGCGGACTCAATCCATCTTCCAGTCTAGTGGCAAAAAGTTTATTGTAACGCTAATATGGTAGGCAGAGCTCCTTTAGGGAACTTGCAGCCTAACAGAAATGATGTTAAAGGTTATATAGAAAAAGTTCAGTGAGTGGTGTGCCAAGTATACTAATTAAGTGGTGAATAATAAGTTAACCTTTAATCAAGAGTTTTTTCTCCTTGCAGACTCTACTTTATTTCAAGTAACTTTTACTGCCTTTCACCCCGTTCCATGTCCTCACCTTTCTACCAAAAATGTGTCAGAATAAAATGGTTAGCAAGCACAATTTGGTTGAGGAAAAGTCCACTAGTATTTCCTGAATTGTAATAGAAATAATTAATTCAAAGGAATGTCACTGAGATGCTTCTAGAAAACTCTCATATAATACATTTACTGCCCTTTTTAAAAACTTCAGACCGTGGTATGTTTTTTAATATTAACTTGTATTAACACAGCACTTTAAAGCACATATAAAGTCAGGTTTTTCATTGACTGGAGTCATAAAGTTGGGTCACAGTCTTACACAGTGTTACTTCTGTGCTATCATTTCATTTCTTTCCTTCTTTTTAAATAAGTTTGTATTGATGTCTTCTCTTATAACCTCATAGTTATCTCAAGTATCCCTTCCCAGAGAGCCATCCAATATAACATAGTATTTTTTTTAGAAAGGAAAAAAAATTAACACAACTGATCAATTACATTGAAAAAGTCTAAAAATATGTGCAATGTGTAACATGTGGGGACCTCCTACCTCCACAAAGGGGGGGTAGGTGAAGGTGTCCTCCCATCTCTTCATTGGAGTCTTCCTTGATCTTTAGAATTTTGTTACATTCGCTGTCAACTTTTTGGTATGTTCTTTCCATTTCCATTGCTGTAGTTGCCTTATATATTGTTTCCTTGGCTCTGCTTATTTCACACAGCATCGGTTCCATGCTTCTCTGTATTCAACACACATACCATTTCTTTCAGTACAGTAGTATTCCATTACTTTCGTGTACCACAGTTTGTTTAGCCATTCTCCAGTTGATGGGCATCTACTTTGTTTCCAATTTTTAGTTATCAGAAAAACTGCTGCTGCAACTGTTTTGGAGTTATAGGGACTTTCTTCCTATCAAAGGCTTCCTTGGGTATAAGTTCAGTCATGGAGACTACGATTCAAAAAGTATGAACATTTTGGTCACTTCATTTGTGTAATTCCACATTTCTTTCCAAAATGGTTGTGCCATTTCACAGCCCCACCAACAAGTCATTAGGGTTCCTGTCTTCCACTACCCCTCTGACATTGGCTACTGTCATTTTTCCAGGGTGTGAGGTAAATAGTCTTGCTTTATTCAAATTTTCTTTCTTTTGTATTTGAAGGCCTTTCTCTTGCAGAGCTTGTTTCTAAATTGAATTGTTAAATTTAACTACTGTGTGTCTTGGTTTTTGCAGTCTTGGTTTTTTTTCTGGAGATGATCTGTGACTTCTTTCAATTGGCATTTTATTTTCATTTCAGAAGTTCCAGGCAGTTCTCTTCTATTAATGTCTTCATTATAATGTTAAGGGTTTTTTGTTCTCTTGTTTTCTTCTGGGAGACTGGTGATCCTTAGGTGGATTCTGTACCCTCTGTCCTTGAGATCAACATGTTTCCCAAAGTGAGGCTTTTTTACTGTTGCTGTTTTTGCTTCTCTCATCCTAGGTTGCTTTGTGTTTGCTCCTCCAATCTGTTTTTTCTTTTGTTTCTTTGATGAGGTTTGTCATTGAAGAGTCCAGCTTTTCTATTCTGACCATCATTTTCTGTCCTAAATTCTGCTCTCCTGATGATCATTTCTCTTTCGAAACACTGGGGAACAGCGTATTGTGGTTCCTTGTCCTCACATTCTACAGGGTCCTCTGTTAAATCAAGGGCTGGATCTTTTCCCTTCGTTTCACAGTATTTATTCATAGATTCCTGGTCTCATTTACTAGATCTGGAGGCCATGTTTCCTTCTGTTGTTAATGTTTTCTCTGTTGATTTATCTGGTTGTGTTCAAGGTCTTTGAGTTTTCTTATTCTGAGATCTTTGGTAATTTTAGGGGTTTTTTTTTCTTTCTGATTTTACCCTATCCACTTTATGACCCTATGTCATCTGATCCCACCCTTTGGGGCTGGATCTCAGGGCATCTCAGCTTCCTCCCATCTTGGGTAATCCACAGTTCACCAGCCTAGGTTTCTGCCCTGAGTGACTGTTGGGTGGTCAGGTGACCCCAGCTGTATACTGTGCTTGTTCCATCATCCCCCCCCTCCCCCCCCCAGTGCACACAAAGTCCTGCGCTTCGTTCTCTGGCCCAGCAGGGGCAGTTCAGAGAGTTGCCATTCAGTGCTACGGGCTTGTCTGCCCCAGCACAGGTGGGATTGTCACTGGTGCTGCATGCCCTTGCACTTAAGCTTCTGAAGGGCTGTCTGTGGGGGAGAAAATTCTGCAGCTTGGATTTAGGGTCTCCACAGCACTGGAAAGGGGGGGGGTCTTCACTGTGGGGTTGAGTTTTGTTGCAAGCCCATGTTCCAGATCCTTGTGTCTGCTAGTGCAAGGGAAGTACTGAGTAAGCTCACAAGTCAGTGAGCATCAGTTCATAGGTTTGGTTGTTTTGTTTTGTTTTTTTAATCTTTTTGATTCTGAGTTATTTTAGACCGTGGAGACAGCTGAAGTTGCATTATTTTGGATGCATAATTTCTGTTTTAGAGAGCTTTGAGAGGTCATGGGGATCATAGAAAATGTCTTAAGCCTCTATCTTTTTGCTCTTGTGACCCAGAAGTTGTCACTTCATTTCTTTGTATAAACCACAGAGCCATAACTGCTCCCTGAAGACTATCCAATTGGTTTGTAGCTGGAGGCACAGTAGGTTAAATAAAAAACTTACAACACTTTCTTTTTGCAGAAAATCAGTTCTCCCTTAGGGAAGATTTTCCACATAAATACTTTCAGGGAATAGGGAGGGCTAAAAAAGAGATAGCAAACAGTGGTTAGCTGACTCATTCTACTTTGCCCAGTGACCTTTCCACAAACTACCTTTATTTTTCTTCCTTCTGTTTGCCTTGATTACTGTTCCCGGTGACAAGGTGATGGGCATTTCTTCTTTTTTGAAGTTCTAATCTACAGATTTATAGGGATAATCTAGAGAAGTGAGTTTTGGTTGTAAACAGCTGCTTGGTCCTTCTGTACCAAAGGGGTTCAAATCCCAAATCTTAAACATAACAAGAAAGAAAATCCTGAATAAAAACAGAAACCAAGTCTCAATCATATTTTATCTCCCCAGTAGAATTTAATCTCCTTTCCTTATTTTGTCTTTGTATTCCAGTGCACAGCATAACAACTTTGTTCTTAATATTTTAAAAAATTGAATCACTTGAGTTTAAACTAGATTATATTAGGTAAATGTAAAAAAAATCTAGAGATTATTTTCTGAAAGCATTTATTGCCCTTTAAGAATATAGATGTATCTTCCTCAGAACTTTAGATATATTTTTGAAAGTGGATAAAGTAAGATTGTAAAATTCACTCGGTTTTTAAATGTAAATAGACGTGTAAATGTCTAGAATGTCTTGCATTGACTCAATATTAGGATATTGGTCTGGATATAAATCGTTTTACTGCCAAGCTATATACTGTGTACTGGCTCCTGAACAGGCTGTGATCTGTTGGTTTGCTCTAGGATTCCCAGATTCAAAAGGACCCTAGAGCTAGACTAGATTGGAACAGAATTTTAATTGGTGATGATATCCCTAAATGATATCCTCATAGTCTGAAAGTATATTTCCAAAACACTTGGACTTAAAAATAATCTTATTTTCCAGGTGTGTCTGTCTCATTTCTCTGTTTTCCCCATCTCTTTGTAGTTCCAGTGCCTGGCACATTGTAGACACTCAATAAAAGCTTGTAGAATTGAATTGATGATACTGTTCTCTACTACATTTCCATTCTCTTGACATTACTTAGTAACTATCAGGTGAATCAGTTGGTGCCTTATTACAAAGCTAGAGGGTGTTAATTGCTGCTGATTTTCTTTATATACTTCTATTTTCTAGATTAATTTTCTAGATTATCTTTTTGTTGAGTAAACCAGAATCTTAGAGGTGGAATTATCTAATATAATTAGCTAGATACCCCTTAGCCGAAGGTCACATAGCTGATTAGTGAAAGAGCTTGGTACTCCTGACTTCCAATCTGGTATTCCTTGTACTATAAAATTGGAAGACAAATATTTCCCCCACTTATTGTCCTTTTCTACTCTGTGCCGTTACCTTTTTCCCCCCTTTCATTTCTTGCTTAGTCATTTGTAGAACTCTGTACTTTTAATCTCATCACTTCCAAGCTCAAATTTCAGAAGAATGACATGAACTAGTACAGCATTTCTCCCATAGTGTATGCTCTATGAAAGTAACTAATGCCCCAAAGGGCTATAATTTGTGTGAAGACTTTATTTACTGATGCACTTTTTAAAAACTAAAAATATATCCCTTTTAGTGAGAAAGGATGCCTAGCCATTGTTGGCTTCAAGTCCATTGTTTAATGTGCTTTAACTAGAACCATTTGATATCGACAGAGGTGGTAATTACTGGGCTTTTTACAACTGTGCCAAGATAAATCTTGGTAAATATTTCTAAATCATTTAACAGAAATACCATTGTTTTTCTTGTTGGTTTTTTTTTTTCTTATAGTGTTTCCTGAGGGTATAGGCGGGTGTTTGAGGAGTACATGCGGGTTATTAGCCAGCGGTACCCAGACATCCGCATAGAAGGAGAGAATTACCTCCCTCAACCAATATATAGGTGAGTATGTTATAGTAAAACTGATAAGAAATAAAGAAATTGACTTCTGAGCTTAATGGTTTAATTAAATTAGTTAAATTTAATTAAATTGAAGTCAGTTGATAACCCAGTGTTTTGGTCATATTTAAGCCAGTTTGCCTTGTATTTTCTTTACTTTTTTCCTCATCACTGTAACAGTATTTCTTTGCAATTAATTTAAGCATGTTTATATAAATAGAAGATTTTTAATATTTAAATTTTTTTAAAAGAGAATTATCTTCAAAATAGAATTTTACTTAAACATTTTACTCATACATTTTAAAAATATATTTTTCACTTTTTCGCTTAACAAGCTTTTATTTTCTCTCCCTTCCATCTACTCCTCCCCTGTTCCAGCAATTGGAAAAAAAAAAACAAAACCAAAACTCCTCCTAACAAGTATGCATAGCAAGCAAAACAAATTCCCAGATTGATCATATCCAGAAAAATATACGTCTGATTTTGCACTCTGCATCCATCACTTCTCTGTCAAGCAGTTGTTAGCATCTGAAATCATAGTTGGTCATTTTGTTGATCAAACTTTTTAAGTTAGAGCTCTGGCCTTGGAGTCAGGAGGAACTGAGTTCAAATCTGGTTTCAGACACTTGACATTTATTAGCTGTGTGACCCTGGGCAAGTCACTTAACCCCGATTGCCTCATGAAAAAAAAGCAAAAAAATTTTTTTGAAGTTTTTCAAAGTTGTTTTTCCTTATAATGTTGTTGTTATGATATAAACCAGGCCTGTACAACATGGCCTGTGGCCTGCCAAAGCAGCCCATCAAAGTGGCCTTCGAGTGGTATGTTGTCGTGTAGGCCTGGTATAAACTGTTTACCTGGTTCTGCTCACTTCCTATATGTCAGTGCATACAGGTCTCCCTGGGGTTCTTCAAAACTGTCTGTTTTATCATTTCTTCTAGAATAACGGTATTTCATTACATCAACATATCATAGTTTGTGCAGCCATTCTCCCAATTATGACTCCCTTAGTGTCTATTTCTTTACCACCGCAAAGAGTTGCTATAAACATTTTTTGTTCATATGGATACTTTTCCTCTTTTTTTTTTTTAATGAGGCAGTTGAAGTTTTAAGTGACTTGCCCAGAGTCACACAGCTAGTGAGTGTTATGTGTCTGAGGCTGGATTTGAACTCAGGTCCTCCTGACTCCAAGGCCAGAGCTCTATCTACTGTGCTACCTAGCTGCCCCTAAAAATGTGGGGGAGTTTGGGGGGCAATTGGGGTTAAGTGACTTGCCCAGGGTCACACAGCTAGTAAGTGTGAAGTGTTTGATCCTAGGCCAGATTTGAACTCAGGTCCTCCTGACTTCAGGGCCGGTGCTGTTTCCACTGCACTGCCTAGCTGCTCCTGGTGACTCTTTTTTCATAATTCTCTTGCATCACTCATTTCTTTTCCCAGGTTTTCTTCTTCCTCTCTTATAATTGTTTTTGAGCTCTTCCATGAGTTCTTTCTGGCCTTGAGACCACTTCCCGTTTTCCTCTGGGGCTTTGCCCATAGGTGTTTTAACACTGCTGTCCTCTTCTGAGTGTGTGTATTGATCTTCCTTTTCATCATAATAATTTTCTATGACCAGAGTATTTTTTGTTGTCGTTGTTGCTTTTTGCTCATCCTTTTTGGCCTTTTTCCTTTCTTTTAAATTTGAGCTCTGCTGTTGGGGTATAAGGGGCACTATCTCAGGCTTCTCATGCCAGGGGCTGCAAGCCCTGGCGGTTTACCTGGTACTATGCTGGTGTTGCCCTGAGATCCATGGAGGGACCCTTGTGTCTCGTGCTGCACTGAGGGGGTGGTTGTAGGGTGGTTGGTGCTGTTGGAGGCCACGGGGGTCTGGCAGCTTACCTGGTGCTAAGCCAGAATCCTAGTGCTCGTGTCTGGTGTGTGCAGAGTCCGGAAGGGTGTTTCTTTTCCCGGGCTGTGCTGAGGCACCTGGAGGTTCTCACAGCCGAAGCTGGAGTCTGCCTGTTCCCCTGGCTATATGCTAAGGCACTTGGGGGGTTCTGGTGTTGGCCTTTGCCTACTCCACTGTACTAGACATGGAAGTGGGGCCATTTTGTTGAACTTTTTTTATACACATGCATATATATATATTTATGTACACTTAGTATAAACTAGAAATTTTAAAAAATATGTAGTTTTGTGTATAACCGTATTTGCGTATTTGAATGTCTGATGGTTATTACATTATAATAAAAATGAATTTTTCTCTTCTTTTGATAGACACATAGCATCTTTCCTGTCAGTCTTCAAACTAGTATTAATAGGCTTAATAATTGTTGGCAAGGATCCTTTTGCTTTCTTTGGCATGCAGGCTCCAAGCATCTGGCAGTGGGGCCAAGAAAATAAGGTATGTAGCTGGTTCTTTATTTCAAGTTGACAGTGAAAGTGTGGGATTGCATTGTTCTTGGAAGAGCTTGGGACTTAGCCGTGGGCTGGTGGTGGTGATTTTTGTTTTGTTTTAGTTTTGGGAATCTAATGATTTCTCTTCTTGCATTAGGGATGACAGGTAGCTTTTAGGGTCTTCACTTGGAGGCAGAAGACCTGGGTTTGGATCCTAGACCCAACACTAATTGACAGATCACATAAGATCTCTGAGGCTCAGTTTCCTCATGTGGAAAATGGGGGTAATAATCCTTGTACTGCCTACCTCGTGGGGCTGTTGTGAGGAAAGTGCTTTGTGAATCTTAAAGCACTATAGAAATATTCATTATCATTTGTTTTTTCTCTTAATCTGTCCCATTGAGTATCTTTCCTTCTGAAGGACTAAGTTTCCTGCTGTCTATGCCTTTAGAAACCCATCTTGTGCCTTTTCTTAGTTTCTTACTGGGACAGAATTGCCAAAGCTCCCTTCTGGACAGCAGAGAAGTATCTTCTCTCTTGTTAGATCTTCTTGGCCCTGCCCAAATTTTAGAACCTGAGAGTTAAAGCTGTTTCAGTAGGAACTGAGGAGGGCTCTTGCAGAGAAGGGGTCAGCTGGCATTCATGAGGTGGCAGAATGTACCTGTAGTTATCAGTAACTCTTATCCTAAGTGATTTTTCTCATGAGCTTAAAATAATTTTCTAGGAATGTGAACCTGGTTATGTTTAGTCTTTTAATAAAGTTTGAAAACCCTTGAACAGGTCTCTACATGAAGTTGCCAAATATTGCATCACTATTCCTTTGTGAATACTTTTAAAAGGTGTTCAATGAACTGTGTATAGTTCTTTTTTAAGCATTACTTGGACTGTTGGTGTTTCTTTTAGATCTATTTTCGCTAAGTCACAAATGGCTTCTTAGAATCTTTGAACTGAATTAGAACTAAGCTTTTTTAAAATTTCCTTACTATAATTGGGTGGTGGCAATAGAAGTATTAGTTTGTGTGTAAACTGTAGAAATGTGTGAAGGAAAAATAGAATTTATCAGATGAAAAAATCATTTCAGAGAGAAAATGTTGAGAGTTTGCCACATCATGTATTAAATGTTTTCTTCTTAAAAATCACTTTGTCTGAAATACAATGGCAACTCTGATTTTTTTTCTTTTAGGTCTATGCATGTATGATGGTTTTCTTCCTAAGTAACATGATTGAGAACCAGTGTATGTCAACAGGTGCATTTGAGATAACGCTAAATGGTGGGTTCTAAATATTTTTCATTTTGTAATAAACTGTATTATTTTAATCTTTAGTCAACATCAAGCAGCATAAAAATGTTTTTCTTGTCATAAATTATAATATGAGAAAAATTGTTTACTAACATACCTATGAGAGAATAATACCTATTAATACTGTTGCAGGGACCACCATCTTGGTTCAGAGGAGATTGTTGAGTTCTTTGTAGATGTTATCAACTTCTTCATCCTCTGTATCAAAAGTTGGTGTGTAATAATAGCTAGCATTTCTATAGTGTTTTAAGGGTTACAGAACACTTTACAATCATTATCTCATTTTATCCTCACAGCAACCTTGAGAGGAAGGGGCTGTTTTTGTCCCCGTTTTATAGATGAGGAAATCGAGGCAAATAAAGTGTAAGTGACTTGCCCAGGGTCACATAACTAGGAAATTTCCGAGGCTGGATTTGAACTTAGGTTCAGTCAGTCTTCCTGATTATAGGTCCAGCTCTCTGTCCACTGTGGCACCAAGAGGCCTTGAGAAGTACATTAGGAAGTATTTTGATTATTTTTTTTAATTTTTGATGCTTCCTATTATAGAGTGAAATTTTCTGAATTGTAGTTGGCCATCGAATTATCTTTAATTATTTGGATTATGTTCTTTTTGTAGATGTACCGGTATGGTCAAAGCTGGAATCTGGTCACCTTCCATCCATGCAGCAGCTTGTTCAAATTCTTGACAACGAGATGAAGCTCAACGTGCACATGGATTCAATCCCACATCATTGATCATAGCCCCATCTTTCAGCCCTGAAAACTCTTTTGTAAGTAGTTAAAATGTACATGCCTCAGCTAACCTGCAACAAGCAGCAAAGGCAGGGTGCACGTGTATTTCCATGGTCTGTTTCTCTAATGGCTTCGTAGGATTATGAACGCATAAAACGTCATTTGTGGAACCCACTAACCTGGCAGGCTGTGTTGCATTTATTCTTTTCCCTCCTGGCTCAGATTTCTGACCATGGCCTGGTCCCCTAAAACCAGACTGAGAATGAGCCATCGACGCAATTACCAGGGGCTTGCTTGCCCAGTTGGTAGATGCAGAGAAGGTCAACCTACGAATTGATAAAAAGTTACTTTGTAATAAGATAGTTAAAGAATGATGTAGTCAGATCATTGTATTGAACTGTATGTTTAGTAACTGCTTAATAAGGCAGCTTAGTAGGGCAGCTAGATGGAGCAGTGGATAGAGTACCAGAGCTGGAGTCAGGAGGACCCCAATTCAAATCCAGACTCAGACACTTACCAGTTGTCTGACCTTGGGCGAGTCCTTAACTTTGTTTGCCTCAGTTTCCTCATCTAAAAATTGAGCTGAAGAAGGAAATGGCAAACCTCACTTAGCCACTGCATTTGGAATCTACTATGGTAGTCCCTCATAGTCTACAGAAAGAGATAGAAATGGCAATAAAGCAAGCAAGGGTGGCAGACACCACCTGGACTGGACTGAATTTACGCAGAAGAGGTCTCTGTGGGAAGAGACACAATTTTAAAGATATTAAAGGTTTGAGTCTGAAATACCTGAAAGCGGGCGAGTATGCCAAACACATGGAAAAATCATCTGTTCTGCTATTACAGAAAAGGTGATCAAGAAAACATCAGTAAGTAGCTACCCATATGCCTTCTTATCTCTATAAAAAACTTCCAGGAAGAATCCATACAGAGTACTGAGCATCTCCTTGAAGATGATATGAGAAAGGGAAATAAGCAGCCTGTAACAACGTTCTGCATTTCTACATCAGATACATCCTGGTAGTTGTATAATCGACTGGAAGGTGTGCAGAGAAGAATATCAGTTTTCATGTTTGTTCCATTATTGTTTGTTGACCATAAAAAATAGATTCGGTATAGCCAAATGTAGTCTTAGAGGTTGTCCTCCAATGCGGTGACTCGCACATATATAGTAAAATCACAAGATTCCTTGAAAGATGCAACAACTGAGGAAATTTTGGCTCCAAAATTATTTGTACTAATGAAAGCATCAAACCAAATGTATGTTTACGAAGAGTGTTTACCACTGTTTGAGACTGTCTAGAGCAGAGTCCACATGGAAGCGGGATTCCCTGTGAAGATGCTTTTGTTTATGGGTAACTTTGTGCTGGGTGCGTTGAGCCTAGGCATCCTCACAGTTTCCTAAACAGGATCTGCAGTCTCACAAACGAGTTCATCCTAACAGATGACACAGGAAAGACCACATGCGTGAAGAATGCCTGTATGATATGCAGTTGGCTAGAGAGCCCATCAAACTGGTCCGTGAGCACAGCTTGGGCAAAGTGCTGTGAACACTGAGCTGGGCCCAGCATTGAATCAGGAGGAGGAGACTGGGATAGGGGTTGCATCTGAGGTCCTTTACAACATTATCAGCACTTCGAGGCTTTTCCATCTCTTTATTATACTTTTCCTCCTCGTGATGCTTTGTTGCTGTGAATCACAGTTTCCAAAAAAACCAGAATTGCCTGTGGTCCAAAGAGTGATGGAGAGATGTAGGGTGGGGAAAAATAGGCTGAAGTGTTTCACTGGTGGCAGCTTCTGCCAGGGAGCCAAAATGTATGATGACAAAAGGAAGTGGGCTGATCCCATATCAAGGGTGAGGGTCATCAGACCCAGCAAGTGCTGCCTGCGTTGGTGGCGGGTGTCCCAGTCTGCGAGGGTGCACGTCTTTGTGAAAGAGTGACAGGAGGACATGAACAAGAGGGACCCCAGATGACAGCCGGCACTAAGGGAAAACCCACCTTGGGGACATCACAGACGTGCCAACGATGCAGATTGGGAGGGGAAAAGCAACCTTCCTATGGATGAATGGAAATTTTAGCATCAGGGTAGTGAGCGCGTTTTTACTTTTGAAGAGACGTGTTCCTCTTCTTGCCTTGTATCTGATTCAGGGGGCGGCTTTTCTGAAATCTGTGGTCTGACACAACATTTTCTTTAATATATTTCAGGCATTAATGGATTTTTGCGAGAGCAGCGTGGTTGGCACCAATGAAGGCCTGTACTGAAGACAGCATGCTGTTAGTACAGACCAGATACTTATTTGCAGCCTCGTTGAACTTCTTGGAAAACCTCAATGCAAGACAGTCTTTCATTGTTGGCATGTTTTGGAATACTGCACATTCATGGAGTGCAATAATACTGTATAGTTATATTTTTTTTAAAGGGTTAATTCAGCCAGTTAATTGTTTTAAAATGCAGGCATTACTACTTGTAACTTTATTTCTTAGTCATGTTTGGGGGGGGAGAGTGGCAAATTGACTTAATATCTGATTTTTTTTTTCTTTGAGAGATGTCTGTTACATCTGTTGTGATTTTATATGAATTTGTGTTCTTTTTGTAGTTTAAAATGGGTATTTGGGGAAATAGCTGACATTCCCAAGTACTTTACAAAGTCTGTCAAACACCTCTAATTTGGCTATGTCCTGTTTGTATGGTTTTCAAAATATTGCAAATTGTGAACAGTGCATTATACTAGATTATGAAAAAAAGACCCAATATCCTGAGTACAATACCATTTTTGTGATTACAAGAGAACTACTAAAAGACCAACCGCTTTTTAAACCCTGTTGTCTAGCTCAAATGTCTTGCCTTGACCAGTCTAATGAATTGATTAACTGGGCCTTTATACTTATCCTAAATATAAAAACTAAGCAAATTTAAGTTAAATAAAAAGTTTTCATTTCCTGTGTAATGTGCCTTTAAGCATTATATTTAATAACTACCTACCTAAATCTTTCTTTGCTTCCAGAAGATCAGAGAATGCGCACTTCAGTTGTCTGAGAAACTTCATTCTTCTGTTAGCTGAAGTGCTTATTTTGTTCAGGAAAATCCCGTTGGGCCCGAATAGGGGAGTAAACATGTTGTCTCAGGCTGTTACCAGATCCTCTCAGTTTGCAGGAATAAGAATGTATAACCAAACCAGATTATAATGGGGGACTACTGTTAGTGTCATCTCAAGGAATTCTAATGTTCCGCTTTTATTACAATAGTTCTATTTTTATTCTTATATTGTGATGACAATTATTTGTTAGATTAATAAAAACCCTGTCCCTTGGTGACTAGTACATCATTGATGTAGTGACCAAATTTGGGTCCTGTAGAAAGTAGCATGGGTGATATTTAAGCAAACTTTTGAAATTCAAATTCGGCATATATTTATGGGCATTAATTGACCTCATGAAGGCAGTTCTTTTAGCAAATGATTAGCCTTGACAATAGAGTGTAAGAAGACTATGATTAATGAATTGGATCGTTTTTCTTTTCTGCTTTGACCTTTAGCTGGTTTTGGTCTTTAACTGGTAAAGTCTCAGCACTTATATTAAAAGTAATTCATCAGTTTGTCAAAAAACAAATTTAACTTGGTGATTTAGATGTTGAATTTGACATTAGCAATCCATTGGGCAGGTCTAATGGCCTATTCCTGTTTATGAGTTGGAAAATTGAGAAAATAATTCCGAGGTTATCATCATTAACAGGTAGTTATTGAGAGCCTACCACGTACAAGATATCAGATAGCTCTCCTTCACATTCTGTTTGTACTCTTGGTGGAGGGAGAAGGGGTGTGTGTCTAGGAAATGCCATCTATGGCTTCAGTTGTGGCTAAGTGACAAATATGGCAGCGATTGTAAAGGAGGTGGGTGCGCCCGGAGGCACTTGTGCAGTGGTCCATGGATGGAAATGCAGGTTTGTAGATTTGAGAGTTGGAAGGGACAACAAAGACCCCTTCTCATTTTACAGTTTGAGAAACTGAGACCCAGAGGCACTAAATGATTTGCCTAAGATCACAGAGGTAGTCAGTAGCAGTACCAGGATTCCAGCTCAGGACCTCTGCCACCAAACCCAGCATGCTTTCTGCTGCATTCTCTTCCTTATTGCAGGAGAGGAGGCTTCAGGGGGCAGTGAAAGTTACCTAGGGTTTTGATAGGGTGGATAGAGGGCTGCCCTTGGAGTCCAGAAGAGCAGAGTCAAAATCCCACCTCTAATATGGACTGGTTGTGGGACTGAGCAAGGGCACGAACCTCTCTGAGCTTTGGCTTCCTCATCTGTAAAGTGGGGATAATAGTCATGGGACCTACCTCACAGGGTTGTTGTGAGGCTCTGAGTTATGCAAAGCGCTACATAAATGTCGTTTGTCTCTCCAATGGGTTCCTGATCTCTTTGATTCAGAAATTCTTTCCAGGGACACAAGTCATAGTCTCTCCTTGCAAGCTCACCTTGGACAGCTCTTGTCCGTGTCCTCCCATAGTTTCATTACAGGGGATCCACCCAGTGTGCTGGATGCCTTTCTCACTTTCCCCTGACATCATGAGGGCATCCTGGAGCCTTAGGCCATCTTCCTGTGGCTAACCCACATTGTCCTTTATCACTGTTGTCACCTGCTCCTTGGCTTATACCAAGAGGAGTACATTTTCCTAGGCTCCATGCACGCCTGATTCTTTATTGTTAGAAATGCCCTGAGTCAGGAGAAAATAGCCTTATTATGAAAAAGTTTGTAATGTTTTAATGGTATTTTGTGAGGGGCAGTATCTTTTCTTGCATCTTCATACATGTCAATTTTAGTTAACACGTTAGTTTTTCTGAATGTTGCATCCACATTTTTAGGTCTTATTTATTTATACAGTATGTTTCTATTTTGCCATTCTCCTTGTAAGATTTCTTTGTTATAAAAGGTTATAGCCTATTAAGATATCCTAAGAAAGTTTTGCGTTCTTAACTGCTGGGAGCTTCTCTGCTCCTAGGGAAAATGACTACCCACTGACTTAATAAATATGTTGTTTCAGGCTTTTACCAGATTCCCTCAGTTTGCAGGAATAAAGTTTGATCTGTGGTCTGTTTGAATTCATGTTGAAAACAAACCAAATTACAATGGGATCCTGTAGAGTTCTATGTTTATGCTTATAATGTGATGGCAATTATTTGTTAGGTTAATAAAAACCCTGCCCCTTATTTAGAAGTACATCCATGTAGTGACCAAATTTAGCTCCTGTATAGAAAAGTAGGATAGGTGATATTTAAGCCTACTTTTGACATTGAAATTCAGCATGTATTTATGGGCATTAATTGCTGTAATAAAGACAGTTTATTTAGCAAATGGTTAACCTTGATAATAGAAGTGTAAGTTTTGTAGTTAGTGGATTGGATCATTTTCCCTTCCTGCTTTGGCCTTTAGCTGGTTTTGGTAAAGTTCGGGTAAAATTTTAACACTTATATTAAGTTTTTCATCAGATTGCCAAAAAAATAAAAAATTGATTTGATTGATTTAAATGTTGAATGTGACATCAGCCATCTAGTGAGCAAGGCCAGTGGCCCCCTCTTCCTGCTTCATAAATTAGTAATTCAGAAGTTATTAACAGGTAGGTTATTGAGAGCCTATGACGGGCCTTACAGATTTTGATAGAAAGGGTCAGCTTCCAGTTTTGACATTGACTAGCTGTTTATGACCTGGGAAAGTTGCTTTCTTAGCCTCTGTTTCCTTATTTAGAAACTAGGAAGCAGGGTTTGTTCTAAATAACTATGAGTGAAAGTGCTTTGAAAAGCTATAAAATGTTATAGAAAGACCATTATTTCACTCCTTGTTCTTGAAGACCAGTATATCCAAGTCCCAGCTATTGACCTGATGGTATCCTTTCTTGGGTATCCCTGTTCCCCAAAGCTCCTGCTTCTGTGTATTTTACTGTGAGTTGTAATGATTATGACCAATGTCCTCTAATGGCAGAGAGTCGAAGGGGAACCCTATATCTACACAGGAATATAGGCTTCCCTGGTGTTAAATTTATTCTTATTGGGGACCTGATTGCTTCTTTCCCTCATTCCAAGCTCTGCCTCATGCTCTTTTTACTTGTCTTTGCACTGCCTCCTACACATACTTAGACCTTATCAATTAAATATTGTTGGCATGGTGCCTATTTCAAGAGGGGAAAGTGGGCTGAGACTATTATGCCAACCTGACAGTCTACCGGCTCCTTCTGTGGAATTTCACAGTACTTTATGAAAGTCCCTGGCAATCCTGCTGCAACCTAGAGGAAGTCTGCTTATATGATAAGGGATTTATGGCATTGAAGGCCACCCTAATATAAATCAGTATAAAAACATAATATAAAGATTATGGGTCAGGTTTGTTGCAGTTGGCCCTTAGCCCAAGGATAAAAGATGAGACCTCAAGACCTGGAGAACCAGGTTCATGTATTGATTTCTTAACTTCCCTTAGGAGTTCACAAAACTCAGCAAAGAACCAAAACTTGAATAGATCCAAGAATCAGCTACATGCATGACTGAGTAGTAAGGTCAGTTGGCAGGGAAGCCTCAGCAAGTTTCTGCGGTTCAAGTACAAGGACTGAAAAGCAGATCTTGGGACTTGGGCATCTAGGAGAATGAGTCTCCCCCCACCCCCAGTGAATGTCCCAGCACCCTGACATCCTCACCTTGCCCACTAGGGGAGAAAGAAACCACATCCCTCTCTCTCCCTATGGTCCAGAGTCCTTTGAATTTTTTCCTGTAGATTCTTTTGTAGTTAGTTATGATGACTCCTCCCCTCTTGCAAGTTTTAGCTGGTAGTGAGTGATTAAATGAATCAAGGATTGTTAATAAATACTACTTGCCAAGAAAAGGCTGATAGACTTAAAAGACTACATGCATTCGTCCAAAGCTGCCTTAGTCAATGAGCTGTGACTTTTCTTCTCTTTCTGTATGGTGAAGGAGCAGATTGGGTTAACTAAAAGCCCCTGACTTTTTTTTTTTTCCTTTTGGAAACCTTCACTGGGACTCTTAAATTGCTACCCACATACATACCCTTAGCCAGGAAAAATCTATTGGCCTGCTTCATAACCATCTGGTGACTTAGGTGGTCAACAATCTTTGATATTGATAAAACAACTATATTGATTCACAACTGAACCCTTGGGTATCCAGATTTTTTTTGGTGGGGTGGGGAGGAAGGGGAAGGATGCCAGAGTTTTCTCATCTTCCTTCTCTAGACGCTCTTCCCCACTTTATGTATGCTGAGTTATTTCTGCCTCCACCCAATCCATGTTTCATGAACAGGGCCCAGTTTTAGTCGTAGCCCTCCCAGTCCATTTTGACAAACCATTTGGACCATTTTTATCCTGACTTTGTATG